AGGGAAACGGGCTTCACTCTGAGCACTGTGAACTACCGCAATATGAGACAATTAAGTGGTATATAATTAGATATAATACTAGTCTTTAGATATAAAGAATGTTTAGTTACTAACACGTGTCGTGTCAGCCCTATGACATTCGAAGAATATCCAGTTCCAGAAAACATCCTGTTTTGGTTTAACTTAAATTAGTAAAGGTTAATTAGGGATGCCCAACACGTTAATTAATGAACAAAGAGTAGTCAAAGCACTGTCGTTTCCTGCCCAGGACATCACGACCCTACACGCTAAGGTCGGTGAGAAACCTCCTCATCAAAGAAAACACACAGTCATGACACTGACTTTTCTACGAGGACTCATGGTATGTAGTCATAATTATCAGTTTATTACATTGTTGAAGATGCATTTTGATTCAAACTCAATAAATGAGCAAAACTATACGTTTGTGGACATTTGAGATCTGCCGTGATATGCACGTTTCGTTTTATTATTCTGCAATCCATTTTTAGTATTACCCGCTGGCCCGGCCCGGCCCGACGAGCCGAGAAATTCCAGCCTAGTTCGGCAAAGGTGGGAACTGGACTTTTACAATCACCTTACTCCCTTGCCTCGGGAAGATGCATGAAGAAGTTCATTGTTGAAATAACTATACCTGTACCTGGTGCAATGACGAGGGTGGGGTTCATGTTCACTAGACACTAAACACTAGACACGCTTATTAGACGGGAATCGGATGGTCATAACTGCTGGTAAGTATTTAGAGCACCGGCGATCAAATATAAAGATCAACTTTTAACTGTATGCACGATGTCATTGTATCTCGTTGGTCTTCACATCATCGACACAGCTCCTGATATGTGTATCTGTAAGACCCGTCTATTGTAACCAAGTACATAAGACCCGTCTATTGTAAACAAGTACATAAGGCCCGTCTATTGTAACCAAGCACATAAAACCCGTCCATTGTAACCAAGCACATAAGACCCGTCTATTGTAACCAAGTACATGAGACCCGTTTATTGTAACCAAGTACATAAGAACCGTTTATTGTAACTAAGTACATCGGACCGTCTATTGTAATCAAGTACAACAGACCCGTCTATTGTAATCAAGTACCCCAGACCCGTATATTGTAATCAAGTACATCGGACCCGTCTATTGTAACCAAGTACTTAAGACCCATCTATTGAAACCAAGTACATAAGACCTGTCTATTGTAACTAAGTACTAAAGACCCGTCTATTGAAACCAAGTACATAAGACCCGTCTATTGTAATCAGGTACATAAGACCCGTCTATTGTAACCAAGTACATCGGACCGTCTATTGTTACCAAGCACAACATTCCCGTCTATTGTAACCAAGTACATAAAACCCGTCTATTGTAAACAAACACAACAGACACGTCTATTGTAAACAAGCACAACAGACCCGTCTATTGTAACCAAGCACAACAGACCCGTCTATTGTAAACAAGCACAACAGACCCGTCTATTGTAACCAAGGACATCATAACCGTCTATTGTAACCAAGTACATCAGACTCGTCTATTGTAACCAAGTACATAAGACCCGTCTATTGTAACCAAGCACATAAAACCCGTCTATTGTAACCAAGAACATCAGTCCCGTCTATTGTAACGAAGTAGATCAGATCCGTCTATTGTAACCAAGTTACATCAGACCCGTCTATTGTAATCAAGTACAACAGACCCGTCTATTGTAACCAAGTACAACAGACCCGTCTATTGTAATCAAGTACAACAGACCCGTCTATTGTAATCGAGTACAACAGACCCGTCTATTGTAACCAAGTACAACAGACCCGTCTATTGTAATCAAGTACAACAGACCCGTCTATTGTAATCGAGTTCAACAGACCCGTCTATTGTAATCGAGAACATCAGACCCGTCTCTTGTAACCAAGTACAATAGACCCGTCTATTGCAATCGAGTACAACAGACCCGTCTATTGCAATCGAGTACAACAGACCCGTCTATTGTAATCGAGTACAGCAGACCCGTCTATTGTAATCAAGTACAACAGACCCGTCTATTGCAATCAAGTACAACAGACCCGTCTATTGTAATCAAGTACAACAGACCCGTCTATTGTAATCAAGTACAACAGACCCGTGTTGAAAAAGGCGTATGTTGTGAACAGATGTAAAATATAGAGTAGTTTCAGTACATGGGGAATGTGTAGTTGGTGCGGATCTGAAGAAATGGGGGAATAGTAACGTCAAGGTATCAGCGCTGCTCAATCGTGTCAGCCCTGACTGACTCGGACTGCGAGGGAACACACGAACCCTGCCGTCAGGCGCTAATTACTCTGTTATTAACATAAACGGTCTAGCATAAATATTTAAGCTCACGTCACGAGTGGCAGAATGTAACTAGACACAGGTGGAAGTGATCTCTGTTGGTTTACTGAATATATATACCACGCGGGACACACGCTCAAAAAGAATATACAGCGACAAATTAAGAGTCGGCGATTCTCTTTAAGCCAGCAACTTATCCGCAGTGTCGGCCTGTATCATTACATGTGGACTCACATTCACAAAAACAAGTCAGTACTTTTACCATCAAAACACTTTCTTAAATCAGTGTAGAGAAAACGAAGGAGATCCTTTGTAATCTGAGTAGAAGAGTAGACATTCCCCTAGAGTGACTGATGTATTAAACTCCCCACACCCCTGCTGATGGGCGTCTATGTACATAATTACAAGCGTGATTGCTGCGATAGCAATTTGTTTGATAAGGCAACAGTACGTCGGAGTTATCACAACCCTCAATAATGTAGTGATTATCGCCTGATTACACAGATTACCTGCATGTCATCGATAGCGTGAACCCCCGCCAGTGATAGAAGATCCCCCTTCCAAACACCATGATAGCGTCAACTGCTTGACCCCCCCCCGCCACAAACACCACGATAGCGTCTAATGCCTGACCCCACCCACTTCCTACCCCATGTTAGCGTCTACTGCCTGGCCCCACCTACTTCCTACCCCATCTTAGCGTCTACTGCCTGGCCCCACCTACTTCCTACCCCATCTTAGCGTCTACTGCCTGGCCCCACCCACTTCCTACCCCATCTTAGCGTCTACTGCCTGACCCCACCCACTTCCTACCCCATCTTAGCGTCTACTGCCTGACTCCACCCACTTCCTACCCCATCTTAGCGTCTACTGCCTGGCCCCACCCACTTCCCACCCCATCTTAGCGTCTACTGCCTGGCCCCACCCACTTCCTACCCCATCTTAGCGTCTACTGCCTGACTCCACCCACTTCCTACCCCATCTTAGCGTCTACTGCCTGGCCCCACCCACTTCCTACCCCATCTTAGCGTCTACTGCCTGGCCCCACCCACTTCCTACCCCATCTTAGCGTCTACTGCCTGACCCCACCCACTTCCTACCCCATCTTAGCGTCTACTGCCTGACTCCACCCACTTCCTACCCCATCTTAGCGTCTACTGCCTGACTCCACCCACTTCCTACCCCATCTTAGCGTCTACTGCCTGACTCCACCCACTTCCTACCCCATCTTAGCGTCTACTGCCTGGCCCCACCCACTTCCTACCCCATCTTAGCGTCTACTGCCTGACTCCACCCACTTCCTACCCCATCTTAGCGTCTACTGCCTGACCCCACCCACTTCCTACCCCATCTTAGCGTCTACTGCCTGACCCCACCCACTTCCTACCCCATCTTAGCGTCTACTGCCTGGCCCCACCCACTTCCTACCCCATCTTAGCGTCTACTGCCTGGCCCCACCCACTTCCTACCCCATCTTAGCGTCTACTGACTGAAAAAGCCCCAACCCCAACCCCCACCTCTCCCACGAGTAACAGCCGTCTCCCCAGCGAGTCGGCCATTGTGTGTACAGAGCCTTTTGGGAGGTGCTCTGTGTGTATAACATTCACTTAAGTCGTTAAACATGTATATATGATATATTTATACCAACGATTCTCCATTGCCAGAAAAAACAAATACGTGATGTTATAAAGTTTGATGGCCTTAGCCTATATGTATATAAATAGTTCGTACAGCATTTATTAGAAATGATAGACATGAACGTATATAGACATTCATGAACTGTCTTGACACATGAAATATTTAACTACGTGTTATTAAGGCCACGAAATACACAGTTGACGTTCTATATCCCTATCACCGCTTCGTGATATCAGATACCGCTTAAGATATCTACAAATGAGGATATGAAACATACACGCCTTTGATGACGGCACAGTGTGGGTCAACTACCCACTGTGTCATCTGAGGGACACGGACATTCCACCTCCAGGTAAAAAACAAGCACACAGTATACCTCCACCATTCACGTCCCCGCCACTGACGTGCAGTCAAGGCACTCCATGGCGTGCCGCTACGACACCTCAAGCTCTCGTCTTGAAAGCCAAACGTATGATAAAGTATCAGCTAGCTGGCTACAAGTACGTGGCTATGGTTATATGAAGCTATTAAACCCTATGACATGGCTAGTGGGCAAGTACTGTGAAATCCTACACCTGCGTTTCTTGTAATTGACATTGTTTATGAGAGCGGCGTACTGCCACGCCGGGCTGACGCATAACGGTTTCGGCAATCAATGTCTTAGACGTGCATAGGGGTCTCACAAAACACAAGTCATTGTTAATTCAAGTAGTTGTACAACATACACCCACTGTCATTTTGGCTCTCACTGATCGCCTGAACATCGCAGATAATCTATGCTGTGTAACTTTAGAGATACCGGCCGCTACAACTATTTGAATCTATCTTCACTTGCATACTGTCCTGACGCTGCAAGTACACACGACTTCATCACAATTGTGCGTCCACCTCCCCGTTCAGGGTTGTCTGCTGTATGGACATTGCAGACAAGACATACTATCGCAGTATAGATACAGCAGCCGTCTACATATCACAACTTTATAGGAATTGTTCAAAATAGTATTTCAGCTTTGATCATTAACTACAATGAAAATTCTCACCTGCAAACCTTGAATCTGGAGACTGATGTACCCGGCTGTAGGCTGGACTTGTTTCTGTGCCGGTATCCCGGAAGACAGGTGTGCTTTCAGCCGATATACCTACTTAGTAAGTAAATTCAACGCTTGTTTACACTCGGACCGCTAGAAATCACTGAGCGATAGGTAACACCGGCGAGAGGCGTTTGCAGACGAACGTGTTCGTTCTTGCAGGCCAGTTGTCAATTTGGATTTACCCAGCTAGATTACCTATCGACACGGAGCTGTGTTCGTTCCTTGGAGCCGATTGTTATTTTTAATTACTCTGATGAATCAAGGGATGTAAAGTTAGTGAAATTATCTCCGGTTTATGTTATTTTATGCCGCTGACATATATTAGTGTGCTGTTGGCGGAGAAAGTGTACGTAGGGATCTCGGTAATTAGATACGGCGACCTCAAGTCGGAAAATGAGACATCGAAAACTTAATAAAACAGTGAGGGCGAGGAATGTCGACACGACGTCATTGTTTACTCCGCCGCTGAAGGATCCCCGCAATATTCAGATATGTTCACACTAATAAGATATGCCTTAGTATTGACGAAGTCCGGACAAAGGCGCCTCAGTGAATATTGCATGACCTCTGAATCACAAGAACCTCTCGTGGTATAAAAAATACAGTTATTGATCCGTATCTTATTAAATGGATATGTGTGATATACCGCTACTACGTCCCAGGGAACATCGCCCCTCACATGCCACACGCCGTAGCACGGTAGACTGTGCACAGTGATTGTTGGTGAACTCGTTGTGTCTTCATGTGACTTCTCTTTGTTTTACGAGGATCAGCTGAGAGAGGCGGGAGGTCCCACCGGTCAGTCACGGAGATTTTGACCAAACATGTTTCGTTTAAAGTGACGTAGTTACAAAGATCTGCTCCAGTAGTTTTTACATATGTTCGCCGGAACACTGACACGATCTTACAACAGAACAGCCAGTCAGTATAAGCCAACAGATAGGTTGTGTGCAGTTGAGGTCACGGTCACTCCAGCACCTTACCACATATCACATTTTGATAATTCAAGCTCATAATTAATTTGCGGTTAGAAAAAGCAATATATTTATGATTCAGTGTTAAGCTTGTAAATTCCCCCGTTCTATATACGCTTATCAATGTGGCCTGTATAACGCCGCAGAAACAGGGACATCTACTCTTGTCGTTGTCGGAAACTGCTTCTTCAAAGGTGGATAATCTCTAACTAGCTCATGACACTACCTCGTGGCCGCTGTACGCACGTGATCCTTTCTGTTCACTGAGGGACCGACGATTAATATTCTTTTATACTGTTTCCAGTATTTCCTTGAGTAAATTACATTTCTCCCCCCGCCCCTCCCCCGACCTGCATGGCTGTATTGTGTCACGCCTCCCTACTGATGAAGGTGTCTTTGTTCAGCATTACACGATATGCAGGTTTTGAATCTAAAATCACCAAACATACATGCAATGACATAAGCTGTCACAATTATCAATATTCGAGAAACTGTGATTACTATAAGCAGAAACACACACTTCCCCGACCAGGAATACAAATGTGTATTTTAAGATGGTTTGAATACTGTGAGGGGTAAACGCACATGACCAGCTGTGCATCCTCAATTTAGCAAAATCTTGAACTGTGTTCAAATATTTCCAAGTCAATTCTTTAATCTGTGGCAATATGTCGCCATGACCCGCCACAACGGCAAATAGAAGAGTGGGTTATGCACAACAGACAACAGACACGTATGTGAAAAGCTAATTTCCCGTCATTCCCGGTGTATCATCAGCACGTAATCGCCACCTCGGACATCTAGACTGACAACGCCCGCCGCAGTCGCCGTGGTCACTACACAACAGACGACAGATTGCCAACTGTTTGTCGTTACTGACACCTGTGTTAAATATTTGATATATGACCCCTGGCCTTCGTCGAGATACGAACAAATATAGGAAGACCCCAGCATTTGCTGGCTTCAAGTGTGAGCATCTAGAAGTGTCGACATCGTGTCCAGGTCAAGTGTGTGTAAATGTGTGTAATATATGACACGCAACAATCCACTTCTCATACTTTCATAACATATTCCAAATTTCTGTTATAGTCCGTTTGCTGCAAAATCGTATCGATGAAATGCAATATAAATATATATCCTACAGCAACAATTCATCTTAAATGGCATAAAGTTAATTATTTGTCCATACAAACTCGTCGCCATAATTTCCGACATTGCCATAAGGGGGAGAAAAAGTTGTTTAACAAACTTTCATGTAATTGTTGGTGGTTTAACGCATGTTGTTACAAGGGGGCTTGCACTGTAAACTGAACAGCCCTACATTCCCACGTGGAATTCGCGTGTCAGGTCAACCTACTACTATCTTCTCTGTTATAAAATCTTGTCAAATGAAACATCTAAATCTGAAGCGATTTTTGCGATAGTAGTTGTTGAACGGAATATACAATGGGAATCTGTAAAATATTCTCAAAGCAATGCCATTGTTATTTCTATTCAGCTAATTTCAAATGCAAATAAAATAAAAAGAACGAGCTCAGTATATCATTACAATACGGTACATGATTTCGCGTTTAGGATCATTGCAAGACGGAGGGGGTGCACTGGATCATGCGATCATTATTTCAGTTGACAGCATGTGACAGTGGCAATGAAAATATTTCAGAACACAGGTTTTGATATCATCCCTGTGTTGCATGATGCCCTTCAGCTGTTATGTTTGTTGCGCAGACCCCCTTACAACAACGGGCGGGCGTTAAACCACCAACAATTAAATGACAACGTGTTGCCTACACTTAACGACAGTGTCCGACATTGGGGTGACGAGTTGATATGGACAAATAAATAACTTTCATGTCATTCTTTGGGATTTATATCTATTTTGCATTTCAGCGGTACGATATTGCAGCAAACGGACTATAGGTGAAGGTAGATGTTGGTGGGTAGGTGGAACACGTCTTTGCATTAGCTGGATACATAGATTAATGTAGCATGCGGAAACACGGAGCAGACAGGACGTTATGAAGTATACTCCAATATAATCAGTCTACGTGCGTTAGGTATATGTGGAGGTCGATTATTGCTATAACAAAATATCTACATTTTCAGACTAACACGTCATAACAAGCAAGTTATTTAGCACTAATACGTATATAGGGGTTTGGGAATCCTGGAGGTCTGGTTAATGAGACTCTTACAAAGGTCACAAAGGAATGTCTGGGTACACCCTGGCCCTGCCGTCAGCTCGACGTTGCATGCATCTGGACACATCACTGAACCAAACAGTTCTCCACTGCCGGCGGGGCCACACGGCGTGCTTGACACCTCTCACATCACCGTTCACATTGTAGTTGCGTCAAAACAATGCCCCAACCTGAGACCTGCCCTGGGTGACGTCTGGTCGGACAACCTTCACAATCCTGGAACTGCTGCCGGTGTAGAGGAGGAGGACGATGCACCGTAACCTGGCTTCAGTTGACTGTGACGGTGTAGTTCCGCTGTGCTTCATATATCCGTTAGTCGTCACCGTAACAGTTGCTGATAACCTACCCAGGACGTTTCACACGGGCCCCGTGGTGTTCGTGTGGTGTTCCATTTCTGTAGTGTTACTATTCTGCATTTGGTGGTTGCTGCGTTTTGATGATTCAAAAGTCAATCATCGTTTGTTCAAGGGACGACCTCAAGCCACAAGTACCCACGTGTGACAAAAGTTGTTGCGGGAGACTATTTTACAGATCAGTTCTTTGTTAAAACTGCACAGTGGATAAACATGGACAAGTTACTAAACGTTTTGTTATTAGGTATTTATCTTTAGAGAATTGGTGATTAATAAGGGAATAATTTCATTCTTAAAAATAAAACTCATTTTGACGATTCCAACAATAACAATATTAATTTGGTACCAAATGACATCATATTCATGCTCAGTATACCGTTTATGCGTTATTATTTTTCATTATGTAAATCCGTATATCCAATTCATTTGTTTTTGTACAGTGTATAGATTTGGAATGTTGAGGTGTAATCTGTTTACAAGTGCTGAATCCCCCACCTTCCGTTGTAATCAGACATGTGTTGGTTGTAATTCGTCAGGGCTGACGTCACTAGCTCCACAATCGGACTCATGTATTCGTTGAGGCACGGGGAAGATTTCAGTGTAGCGTCAAACATCATGTCGCTGTTCTTGATCTACCTGTCTCTCGTACAGGCCCTGAAACAAAAAACAAAAATATATATCTACATATAGTCACACGCAGACAGACACAGCACTACGGCCAGTCACAAGCAGACAGACACAGCACACAGCACTACGACCAATCACACGAAGACGGACACAGCACACAGCAACAGGGCCAGCCACACGCAGACAGACACAGCACACAGCACTATGGCCAGTCACACGAAGACAGACACAGCACACAGCAACAGGGCCAGTCACACGCAGACAGACACAGCACACAGCACTATGGCCAATCACACGAAGACGGACACAGCACACAGCAACAGGGCCAGTCACACGAAGACAGACACAGCACACAGCACTATGGCCAATCACACGAAGACGGACACAGCACACAGCAACAGGGCCAGTCACACGCAGACAGACACAGGATACAACACGAGGGCCAGTCACACTCAGACAGACACAACACACAGCACTAGGGCCCATCACACGCAGACAGACACAACACACAGCACTAGGGCCAGTCACACGCATACAGACACACGACACACAGTAACAGGGCAAGTCACACGCCGACAGAGACAACACACAGCACAAGGGCAAGTCAAACGCAGACAGACACAGCACACAGCAAAAAGGCCAGTCACATGCAGACAGACACAACACACAGCACGAGGGCAAGTCACATGCAGACAGATACAGCACACAACACAAGGGCAAGTCACACGCAGACAGACACAACACACAGCACAAGGGCAAGTCACACACAGACAGACACAGCACACATCACAAGGGCAAGTCACACGCAGACAGACACAGCACCAGGGCCTGTCACAGGCAGACACAACACACAGCACAAGGGCAAGTCACACGCAGATAGACACAACACACAGCACAAGGGCAAGTCACACACAGACAGACACAGCACACAGCACAAGGGCAAGTCACACACAGACAGACACAGCATACAACACTACGGCCAGTCACACGCAGACAGATACA